CGATCGCCCCGGGCCGGGCCCGGGCCCGGGTCTAAGCGGGCCGGACACCGGGCCGGGTCGGTTTTGAAATTTTTTAATTTTTTAATTTTTTTTAAGTTTTAAAGAAAAAAAAGGCAAAAATAGACACAATTTTGATTAAAAATTTGTATTATTAATCATTTGTAATTATGTAATTTACAAATATAAAAATTATAAAAATTAAAATAATATAAAATAATTATAGAATTTATAGAAATTAATAAAATTAAAATAATTGTAGATATCAAAGGAGTTGTTGAATTTATAGAAATAAACAAAATTAAAAATAATTGTAGAATTCAAAGAGCCCCAAGGCCCTATCAAAGACTTTTAAATATATATGTTGTAGCTAGAATTTGAACCACTAACCTCCTCTCCAAACTCCTAAAGTTTACCACTAGACTAAATAGCCCAAAATATTCATGTCATTCATATATTATACATAAACAAATTGTAAGTACTTATAGAAATTACATAAACAAATTGTATTATACATAAACATATATATAAAAAATATAATATTATACTATATATATATAGAAGTAAAACTTGTGTCAACTTAATAGTGGCGACCGTTCCACTCAAGTTTTCTTACCATTGATGATACTTGACATCAGCAATACTTTGTGGCGATGATCCGCTCCGCTTGAATTTGATTACATATTCTAAAACCTCCAACACACCAAATTGGGGGTGAATCCGTCGATTGGTTTGACCCTTCATCCACTCGTAATTCAATATTTAACGGTTTCAAATTGGAAAGAACTTTTTACATGGCTCACGGAGCGGTCAAACCATGACACGGCTTCACCCCAAATTTCGGACCTGTGTTGGGCTTTTAGAATATGTTAGATCAAGCTTCAACGCGGAGCGGATCATTCCACAAAGCTAGCTACGCCTCCCAATCAGTGATCATTCAATGGTTAAAGCAAACTTAGTGACGGTCCACTAAGCTTGCCCACACAAGTTTACTCTATATATATATATATATATATATAATTATATTATATATATAATATATATATATATATATATATATATATATATATATATATATATTATATATATATATATATATATATATTATATATATATATATATATATTATAAGGCTGTATAAATATAGATATACAGTTATTACATATTAGTTAATTTTATATATATATACACATAGTATAAGCATAAACTTATATAGCCTACATATATAAGTTATTTATATAATAGTATAAATACATTATTAAGAGTATGAATATATATGTTATATATCTATAAATATATATAAACATAGACCTTAGTATGTACATATATATAATTATATTTATATTAAGAGTATAAATATTATATACACATGATTATTACATATGTAAAGAGCATATACTATACATAGTTAGGCCTCTACTAAGAGAGAGTATACTTATATATACTTATATACTAAGAGAGAGGATATAATATATATATAATATATATATAATTATATATATTCCTTATATATATAAGATACACCACCTGCATACCTTATATTACTACATATATATACTTATATATTACATATATTACTTATAAGAGAGTAGTATACTATATATAAGAGAGAGAGTATAAAGTATATATAAGAGCAGTATAACATTGTACACATATATAAGAGAGCGCGAGCATGACCTATATACATATAATATAATTATATTAAGAGATATGACCCATATATAACGAGGGCAGAATATACTTATATATATACTTAATTAAGCAGCGACGAGCCATACTTTATATATATTTATAACATTTTATACCCATAAGTAAGACGAGAGTATACTTATATATACTTATACCATATTATTAAGAGAGATCATACTTATAATATACCGTTACTATATAAAAGAGATATACCATTATATATACTTATATAAGAGGAGAGAATAGTTTATAGCTATACTTATATACTAACAGCAGTGAGCTATAAATAATGTATAAGCCAGAGAGTACACAGCTGTGACACATATATAAGAGAGCAGGCATAGCTTTATACATATAGATAATTATATAAGCGAATATATAGATACTTATATATACCCTGCACATATATATATAATATATATAGATATATATACTATATATATTATATATATACTTATATTAAGAGAGAGCATACTTATATATATTTATACATATTTCATACATATATAAGAGAGAGTATACTTATATATACTTATACATATATTAAGAGAGAGCATACTTATACATATATATACTTATATAAAAGAGAGTATACTTATATATACTTATACATATATATACTTATATAAGAGAGAGTATACTTATATATACTTATACATATTTTATACATATATAATAGATAGTATACTTATATATAATTATATTCTAAGAGAGAGAGTATAAATAAATATATATATATATAAATATCATATATACATATCTTATATATATACATATATTATACATGTAAAAAAATAAAAATTAAAAAAAAATAAAAAAAGTTACTATTCCGGGTCGGGCCCGGGCTGGTCGCCGATGACCGAGCCCGGGCCCGGACCCGATTTTGGCCCGGATTTCCGGGCCGACCCCGGGCCCGAGCCGCGGGCTTTTTGGACATCCCTACCTAAACCCAAACGGGTAACACAAAACGCCTTTTAGGTGTTTTGAGTCCTTCGTTTTGATTATTCCCACTCCCCCAAAAGAGATCGCATTCCAAGCCCTAAGAAATCCTATCTTCACCTTCTCTCATCACCACCCCCATCATTCACAATTATCATCGCCTTTTGCCGTCGTCACCGTGACTCATCGCCGTGATCAACATGTCGCTCAGATATCTGCCCTAAGGTACTCTGTTCTCTCTTGAACCATCTAATCTCTTTCATGCTCCCAAAGTTCCTCCGTTGGAATCAATTTATCTTTCACGTTGCATGGATTAACTGCAATCCTGGCCCTAATTTGTACATGTTCTTTGATGGGTTGTTTTTTCCCTAACTTGTGCCAATTTCATTTTGCCTATTTTTTATTATTTTCTAATTTTTCCCTAATTCTGGAAAATCTTTTTGTGAATTAGTGATTGATAATGTTGATTATTTTCTTCTCCTTTCTCTAATTTTACTTTTCTACAATGGTGTACTAGGCACGATATTCATAGATTAATTATGATTTTATTTTTTTACTACCAAGTAAAATATAATTAGATAGAAAACTAAAGCAAGCTTTTAAATTAAAATGAACTCAAGTCCTCAATATTTAGAAATAATCCTCAATTTTGCGGATGATTACCAGTTTTGCACACAGGGTCAATCGAAGCAAGTTCTGCACATGCAATCAACTCAATTCATCATTCTCAATTTCTCTAACAGTCTCATTAAAGTCCCTTTCACTATATAAAACAGAATTAAAAGATATCATATCTTTGTTGGTTGTCTTTGCAGTAGATTGATTATTAGCTCAACTATATTAGCTTAAACGACTCATCAATCCTCTGGTGCTAATCCCATAGTCTTTGATTTTACAAATGCTCCTTTTACGTAGGGCTTGAGTCCTCTTATGGGTTTTTGTAATATTGTTCCTTGACTTTTCTTTTGCATGATCTGGTTGTAGCTTATGGAGACTACATAGGAATAATTTACAATATGCCATGTTTTTTTCTAACATATAAACTTGTAAGACAAATTATATCATTAAGCTTCTACTCACAGTATATCTAATAGTACTTTTTGTTTATGCCTATTTGGTTAGATGATGTGATGAATACAATAGATGTCAAGCCAAGATCATGATGAAGCGGTGGACATTTCCCCATCTCAAGTGGTGGGAGCTTGGCCCGAAGAGACAGAACTTTATTTTATAGATATGATGGAGGAAGAAGTGAAAAAGGGAAATAGGCGTACAACTACCTTTATTAGATCATCTTGGAAGTACATGGAAAATGAGTTGAGAAAGAAGACGGGGAGGGAATACGATAATAAGCAATTGACAAATAAATTTATTTAATTAAGGCAATGATGGAGAAATTTGAAAAGCTTATTGGTAGATATGGTAATTGGATATACTACTAGCACCGGATCAAATATCTTGAATATGTGTGGAAGAAATTATATGCGGATGAATATCATTTTTTTATTAGATAGCTTACGAGATTTTAGGTTCATTATTTCTTTTTCTTTTGCACAGGCACATTAACATGCAAGATATTTCAGAAAGAAAGGATGCAAAGGTTATGACAAATTGTGCATGATATTTGGGTATACAACTGCTACCGGTGCTAATGCTCATCCATCTACCAAAAGTCCAACTATAAATGAGGATGATAAAGAAGAAGACGAAGAAGAGGTGGAGTCATCCCGATGTAGGAAGAAGGCAAAAGTGGGGGGGAAAATTGTGTATCATTAGGTCAACAAGTTCAATTAGCAATGGCGGATGCCTTGACCTCAATGGGAGAAAACTTACGAAAAAAAATGGAATGGAGAGAGAGAAGAATGAGTTCTACTACTGCACATCATCGTGTTAGCGGTGTTATGAGTAGGCATGCCGAAGAAAACTCAGGTGTAGTGAACTGCATTACTACACTTAATGCTCTCGAAGAGAATAATCCAACTCAGTTTTCAAAGGCCGCACATGTTCTGCACAATGATGCATTATGAAGGACAATATTTCTAGTAATGCCTAATGAGGGAAAGAAGGATTGGCTGCAAAATCTTTCATGATATTTGTTTGTACTAGATTGAGAACCTTTTAATTTGTGTTTATGATGATGTTCAATGATGTGTGTTTGTATTAGGTTGAGGAGCTTTTTATTTGTCTTTGTCATATAACTTATGTTATGTTTGTTTGTCTTAAGTTGTGAACCGTTGTATTTGTTTATGTTGTTGCTTGTGTTATATTTGTCTTAGGTTGAGGATATTTCCATCTGTATGGATTTATGCATAGACTATTCATGCATGTATGGACTATGTTTAAAATTTATTTTAAAGATAGTTTGCATTTAAGATTTATATTCACTTGTTTTAACATTTCAAATGATATTCTATACATTTATTTATAGGTATGGAGGCTAGTGTTGATGCAGATCAATCATTATCATCTTCTAACTCTTAAGTCAAATGAGGAGCAATTTGAAGCCTTATTGGCTATTTATGCAAATATGGAATTTAACGGGTTTTTGATGGAGAAGCCCCGACCACAAAGGATTTCAAAATTAAGCAGTCATGATTGGGTTATTAAGGTTTTAGGAGGTCATTCAGCTACTTGTTTTGACCTTTTCCGAATAAATAAAAGGCATTTGTTAGCCTTTGTGAAGAATTAAAGAGAATTAGGAAATTCAAACATTCAAAAAAATCTACCAGTGTTAGAACAAGTAGCAATATTTTTATCCATCCTTTCTCAGAATGAACGATAACGGTTGCAGATCGTTTTCAACATTCATTGGAGACCATCTTCATCTATTTTATGAAAATACTTTATGCATTTTGTTATCTTGCCAAATATGTGATTGTCGCTGTGTTAGAACAAGTAGCAATATTTTTATCCATCCTTTCTCAGAATGAACGATAACGGTTGCAGATCGTTTTCAACATTCATTGGAGACCATCTCCATCTATTTTATGAAAATACTTTATGCATTTTGTTATCTTGCCAAATATGTGATTGTCGCTCCATCGTATGAAGAAACTCTTCAAGAGATATTGTATAAACCAAAGAATAATCCATATTTTAAGGTATGAATATTTACTTTATTATACATTCATTTATATGAACGTTGTATATTTTTGTTCTCTTATTAAATTTTTGCATGATAGAATATTGTGGGGGCAATAGATGGTCCTCATGTTTCAACTTTCAGCCTTTGTACTACAAGAGATTCAAATTTCCTATCGTGGAAAGAAAATTGTAACAATGAATATGATGTGCACTTGTTCTTTTGATATGTGGTTCACATTTGTCATGAGTGGTTGGAATGATAGTGCAAATGATTCAAGAATTTTCATAGAATGCATTAGCAGCCCGCAAAACAAATTTCCGAAGTCCCGCAAGGAAATATTATTTGGTTGATTCTCAGTATACCAATATGCCAAGTTTTCTTTTAACTTGTCCGGGAGAGAGCTATCATTTGCGTCAGTATAGAGGCCAAAATCTTCCTCCACAGGGTGCTAGAGAGCTATTCAATTGCTTGCATTCTTCATTAAAAAACATCATATTGGCAATGTTTTGGAATACTGAAAAAAAGGTTACCAATTTTGTTTGACATGCCTTCATATAATTTGAAAAAACAAAAGTATATTGCATTAGCATGTTGTGTTCTTCAGTGATTTTGAATACATGATTCTGGAGGCCCATTATCTATCGAGTATGGAAATGAAGATTTGGTGCTTGTGGAAGATGACAATCATGCACAAGAGCAACATACTATTCCAGTTAATGTTAGCCCTAAGCAACTTCGTCAAATGGCAGAATTTCGAGATCGTTTGGCCCAAAGAATATGGAGTGATCATATTGGACAACACCATGAGAATGTTTTTGGAAGTTGATGCATGTTGTATTATTAATATCACTATGCTATATTTTAAGAATATGGAGTGATCATATTTTCTTTTTTTTTTTCATCGATAATCTGGTAACAGTAGAGGAGGTATCGACGACGTTAGAGGCAATCGCCGCTGCTGGTCGTTGGTCAACGCTTCCGGTCTCCGGTCAACGACAACATCAGTGGTCAATGACCAATGGGAAAGACGATCGACGGTCAGAGCGGTTAATGGTTGTCGTGGTGGAACTAGTGTTCACAAACCAAAAACTCACCATGATGTTTTGCAAACGATCTTGGTCTTTTTAAAATGGTTTTGGAGAAAAAAGCACAAAGAAATTGTGTTTTGTAAACGGTTTTGAAAAAAAAACACAATAGTTACCAAATGCACCCCTAGTGAGATTTCAGAGAAAAGAGTCTTTCACAGATGCATAAATATTTCTTTCAAGACAAATAACTGTAACGTATCACTTCATATGATGGCGTGGAAAGTAATCAATATCACATAGTAACACAAAGTAGATATATGTAGATAGTAACGGTTGAAAGAAGGTGGGCTAAGCTAAGCCTGAAATTTGATAAAAATGTACAAGTGCAAATGGATCTGAGCAATAGAACAGGTCACAAAGTATGCATCAAGCAGTAAAGCATCATAGAATCAAAAGGCAACTCAGAGAAACATATAGATGAAATATTAACTAGTAATAGAAAGAAAGCACACCTTCCAGCCTTCTTTTTGCCGCATAGAGTGCTCTAGCATAATGATAAGAAAACTGTGTACTAGGTCTTCTATCTCAACAATGCTCACGCTGCATGAATTTTTGTTGGATTCAATCTGAAATAAATAAGACACAATTAACAAATTAGAAGTCAGATACTGGCATAACCATACACTGCTAACAAAGACAACCTCGGCACCAGTAAAACCGCCCCAACTAACAAACAACAATTAGTATGCTCAACCCAAGAACATGTTTCTCAACAACAACAACAACAACAACAAAGAAAAAAAAAGGAAGAAAAATCAAGGACATGAATAGAACTCCATTATATTTTGAGTAATAAATGAGCTGTAATGCGAAGAAAGATGTGTGTTAAGAACAACAAATTTACCTCATAATTTGATATAAGAACCTCCAATATCCATTCTGGCCATTCTTCCATGAGAGTTAGAGTGCTTCTATTTTCCGGATGACTGCAAGCCAAAAATAGAAGATCCTGAAATAATATAAACAATTGTTCAGAAACTTAATATCAGGTACAAACTTCCCAGTAATAGAGAGAGAAAGAATTCAGCACGGCTCATTATCAAGAAATCTTTTTCAAAACACTCATATGAAGGACAACAAATATAGTTTCCAGACCATTTCTATTTTCTTTAAGTAGCTTCAAATATAGTTTCCAGGCCATTTCTATTTCTTTCAGTAGCTTAACTATGGCAACCTGCACTTAAGTCTTAAGTGCAAAGCAAAACCTGTCCAAGTGTGCATGTGTCTCTTAGCCAGCTATTTTAGAAAAAACAAGTCCACAAATGTGACTTGTATAATAACAATTTACAAGATTTAACAGCTCATAATTGTACCTGCAGCGCTCGAAGTTGGAAAGTTCTTGATGCATAAGGTAATGATCGGAGCAGCACTAACAAAAGGTAAACATGCTCAAAGCGGTGGCCGGAGTCATAGAGACTGAGCCCATCATCAGTTGAAGAAAAATTGATCTGATTAAAAAAGAGTATGCAACATATAGAATTCTTTGTGAGAATTTGCAGAAAGTTAAAATCTACAAGAAACAAGCATAGAAGCAGATAAATTACAAAAAACACCATAAGTGCTCTGCATTCTCTCAGTTACTACTATGAACTTCCTTAGCTGCAGGAAACTACCAGAAGCTTTTCAATAAATTTTAAGTAAATTACGCTCTGCTATCTTGTCGTTAGTGAATGTGACTCATAACTTGCATGTAATAAATTATGGATAACATTGCCGTTACTATGTCAACTATCATACATATAGACTACCTAATGTAAAACTTTAACAAGATGGGGGAAATGGTAATCTCAATGTCCATAGTTAACATTGTCGAGGAGTTTAAACTTCACAGGAGCTTACTGTATATTTCAACCTTTCTTTATATCAACCTTGTGATAGTTTAATGGGAAACTAGAGTAAGTTCAAGGTCGTTTATGCACACATTAACGTCAAAACTGTTTATGCTATACTTTCAAGGCAAGCTTGGAATCATAAGTCAGGTAGAAAATAAAAATATGTATGTATGCAGATATAACATGTATAACATGAAAATCTAGAACAACTTTAGAACAACTACTATCTATGAGAAAATTTACATGCACCATGAAAAAATAAATGGAAGTAAAAATATTAGTTAAAAGAAAATCTGAAACATATCTTCTTAAGGAACTTAATAATACTAAAGTATTAAGGCAGGCAGGTCTCCAGCTGTGAGATGCCAGATTAGATGTTTTTTTACTATACATTCCCCTCCTTCCTTCATATTTCTCTCCCAGTACTGCATTTGTTTCCTATCCTTCTATTAAGGATAGCAGTTTTATCCATTTAAGTTGCCACTTCCCTTTTCTCATGCTTCTGTATGCATGAACGGGTTAAGATTATCGCTTTTTCTAGAGTTAATCAAGCAGAACTGTCCAGAATTATTACCCCTGGTAGCTTTAGATAATAATATTAAAACCATTAACAAATAGCAACATCTTAAAGGGTAACGTGAGTTATTTCCAGTCCTCCATATTCCACTTAGTTATAGTCACTGTTGAATTGTCATTCGTGAGGAAACATATGAACACAGCGGAGGCATAAGAAAGATCATATGCAGCCTACTTTTCAGCGTTTATCCTTATAAACAGCAGTATATGAGGGTATGTGATGGCTTATGTGGCTAATAAAGCTTATGCAGACAGCTTTCCCAATGAAAAGCAACTTGTTTTACTTAGCATCCTCCTGCTCAAAGACCCCGCATCCATAGCCCTTGAAGTCACTTCCTCCCCCCACATTTTTCACCAATTTTTCAATCCTCTCATTATTTTATGTTTCAAAAATTCCACTTTCCACCATCTCTTTGCAGGTTACATTTTTGTACTCCAGTAAGTTTCATAGTAAACCTTGTCAGCAATGAGCATGATAGGAAAACAGTAAGAATTCCTCGATGGAATAAGGTATTCCATGTGAAGTGTCATTTATTTACTTAGGTAAATGTCTTCGACTCTTCCCCATCATGTACCCTTTGTAGTAGCTTCCTAACGGGCACCTTTATCCTTGAATGGCTGCTGAGCAAGCAACAGTCACTGTTATTGTTTCTGCTACAGAAGCAATGAGCCATCCTAAGTTCCTACGAAGATAATGGGAAAAAAAGGAAAGGAGACAACATTTTTCTATTCTTTGTTTTTTCAGTTTTTGTTATGGTGTAAGAGATTTGATTACCTTGATATTCCATGTAATTCTCCATAATTATACCTAAATTTTGAAGCCTTCATAGCTCTTTGGATATTTTTGCAGTTGTTTTTGGTGAGATTTCAACTTCCGGGAGTTTAGCATTACGTTATAGAGACTTGAGAGTTATCCACTTTTATAAATATGAATATTTCTACATTTGATAATGTTATAATATATGTGTTACTATGTTACCCTGGTACTTCATTATTGAAGCCGTACCCGTACCGAACACTTTTCCGTACCCAAACTTCATGGACACTTCTTGAATATATGCATACATTTATTACAACATGTACTCCCGTACCCAAACTTCATGGACACTTCTTGAATATATGCATACATTTATTACAACATGTACTCAATTAGACGATATATGTGTTAATTTAAGCATTTATTACAACATGTACTCAATTAGACGATATATGTGTTAATTTAAAACACTTGTCAAAGACTTCCCAGACGTAGAGCTTACACTTCACATCCGTCTTTTGAAACTAATGGGATACGGACTGGTTCGTTTCAGTCCATACCCAAGTTCAAAACTATATAGTTAATGGGTCGTTTAGATGTCTAGTAAACCCGTACCCAACATTTTACAGTTTTGTCGTATCCCCTACCCGTACCCGCACCCGTACCAGTACCCGTGCCCGTTTCCATGCAACATAGCTGTGTTATTATGTTTGTTTAATTTTATAGCCTCATAAATAAAACATTAATTCACATGTGCATATATAATCATATTATCATCATATCAATCCAAAGAGTTTTTGTATCTGTGCAGCCGTTTCCTGCCACACGGCCCATACCCATATCTTGTACGCATACTACTAGAAACATAGAATATTTAAAACAGATCAATGCTATAGTCAGATTGTACAAAATCCACATATCTGTTCTCAAATAAAGATCTCCTACAGTTGCCTGTAAGAGGCAAAATTGCTTTACTTATTTTCTTAAGAAAGATGCATGCCCTACAAGAGTTTTTTGCTGCTATTTCCATTAAAGAATTCATCAGTAACACACAAAAAAGAAGTAAATTAGCCAGGTCAGAGTTGTTAATAAAAAAGCATAAGGGAGGAAAATATAGGTAGATAAAATTATAAACCTACCGTTGCACTCAACAAAGCCATGTGCACATTTGCAGTCAAAAGCCTATCTGGGGCTGCTTCAAAAGCCTTTTGCAACGCGAAAAGCAGCAGGGAAACTTTGTCATCATACACAGGACTACTATCGTTGGACAGACCACTAGTAGCAAGTTTAGTTGGGAAAGTTGAAGATGCAGAATCCAAGCTGATTTTCAAGTGGCCAGACGTGACAAGAGCGCCCAAAAGTTTTATTACCCCAACAACAATTCCATCACCACTGTCAATGTTATAAACATTATTCCTAGCACTGTCAGCATTTATGGAAAAAGTTATGCCACCTAAATTTTTCAATAGTTGATCTTCAGAGGTGGATGTCAATCTTTCAATATTTTTCCTTAAGGGAGCATTAGTAGAGTTGTTACCACCACTTGATAACTCAGATTCAGATACAGGGCCCTCATTATGAGAAATAGGATCCGCATGTTCAGATAGTTGTAGTTGAGGCTTGATTCCTTCATCCTCGCTCTTAGTAGTTTCTACTTGAGATGCCTCGTTTTTTGCATTTTCATTGATCAATGCATCAAGGTTAGGTCGCTCTTTGTGAGAATTAGAACCTTCAATCTCAGATAATCCAAGGTCATCAGTGAATCCGCAGTCTGTACTGGTAATTCTCAATCTAGTATCCTCGTTTGATACATTAACATGACTGTTTAAGCTAGAACTTTCTAAGACATTATAATTACCAGCTATTCCACCAGAAGAGATAAATGATTGTGCAAATATTCGAGCCCGAGATGTATTTGGTTGCACCATCAACCTATATAGAAGGTGCAATACCCTTGCAACCTGGAACAAGCACCACCAGGGATACCATTAACCAAATAGCCAGATAAAAAGTGAAATTGAAAGTTGCATCATACATAAGGTATCATGATTTCACAGGACAGCACAAACATAAGAAGATAATTGGTTAGTATTGTAAACCTGATTCTACCTGATTTGGTTGCGGACAGTCAACCAGGAAGCCAATCAATGACCTTATATCCTCAACAGCTAATGAAGAAGATGCTGATCCTATTAGAAGTTCAATGACCACCATGAGCTCATCAACCAGTGCATTCAATTCACCAACAGGTCTAGATGATTGATGGATTGAAAATGTATCAATGGAATCTGCTTCATGAACAACCCAGTAGCACCGTCTGCATCCATCAAGAAGCATATGCAGGGCATTGGCATCCCTCATCGCTGAAGACTCCGTAAAAACCATGTCTGCGAGTGACGACAGTAGCTTCTTCTGCAAACCATAATTGCAGAAACTCCATATTTTCAAATCCAATAGCAAAGTACTAAAGAGTTGAATTTTCAAGGAATGACTCTTCGGATATTGACATAGAGAAATTACTGCAGAAACAAGCTCCTCATCACTTTGTCCACAATGCTTGCTGATTTCAGGTTCAGATACCTTTTGCAGTACATAGCTTAAAATTCTAGACAAAATTTGAGGGGCCTGAGAACGAGATAACTCCTCATTGTTACCAGGATGTTGAATAGCCATTGAAAGAATCCTTAATATAGGGGCAGCAAGTGAGGCAGTGGCAAGAGATAAAGAAGGATCACCATGTATAGGTTCCAGGTTATCCATCTGCACATTGCTTACTGTTAGAGGAAGCAAAACCAATGGACCTCCATAGGCCAAGGCCCATAAAGATTCTGCTGGACGTTGACGAACCGCAACATAAACTTGGCCAAGAACTTCAGCAGGTCTTCGAAGTGCACCTGACAAGTAAAAAAAAAGACATATTTCACTTAGAAATAAATGATAATTCTCTAAGAATGAAGTTTTGTCCATGCTATTCGTAATAAAGGGCAATCCTTCACCATAGTGCAAAACTCGTTGATTACAAAATAGCATGGAGAAGGATTTACAATGGATAAGATTACCTTATGAGACAATTTCAGTGAATAGACAAAGAGGAAAAAAGTAGAAAATTAAGTTTCAGCAGCCGAGGTTCAGTTACTAGATGGTACCTTCAATATGGACTGAAATTAATGAAGAAATTTGCAAAGAATCATTTAAGCCCTAAATATGATCTAAAGACTCGTCAATTTCAATACCGATAGTTCTACAAATAAAGAAAATAATAAAGATTTTATTTTACTAGTCAATCAATCTTTAGTTTTTACAATTCATATATGATCCTTCCCAGAATGAATCCCAGGATGCTTATCTTTCTTGACCCTATCAACACAGATTAGCAACCACTTTGTGGTCAATCAGTGTTCAGGAGACCGCCAATCAAGCAGATGCTAGAAATATTCAAGATAAGATGCCAAGAAAGTGAACCCCCCGCACCCCCCAACAACAACACAAAAGAAACCCCACCTCAAAGAAAGAGACAGAAGAGAAGCAACATACAGAAGCATCAGTTGAACTCAACAGAGAGCAATTTGATCATACTTGTGTGCAAGCCTAAGGAAACAAAATTAACTATTCCAAGCATGCTAAGATTTCAACATAACCTATCCATTTGGAAACATTGAGCCATGATTGATAATAAACAAAATAAAGGCCAGCATTAGCATATTGTGTCCATTAGATCAAGGTTGGATGGGGTTGGGAGGGATAATTGTGTCCATGAAAATACGAACATAGCAGACTGCCGGAAATATACAAAACCAATATCTGTCAGGGAAGTCAAGAAATCCCCCCCCCCCCCAAAAAAAAAAAAGAAGAAGAAAAGAAAAGAAAAACCCTCCCAAAAAAGATAACAACTAAAAGGTAAGAAGAGAGGCAATAGAAGGAGAGAAGATTGATCTCCTTTTGAAATTACAGACTAAAAATTGGTCCTAAATTGAGTGCAAGCGTGAAGAAGCGAGAATAGTAACTCCAAGCATACTAAATTCAAGGTCCGTTATGCCACATCGTACAGTGATTTACAATATACGAAAAAAACACACATTTGTATATTCTGTCCATTTGGTGGTCGTATTGAGGTGCATGTGTTTGAAGAAGGGCAGTTAAAAAGAGAGTTAGAAGAAGCAAAATAGAGTTAGATTTTGATGTACCACTAGCGAAAGTGGTAGAAGGGTTTGGACATTTTAAGTAAATATAATACTAGAATTACTCAAAAAGATAAGAACGCATTGGAGGTAGAGGAGGATGTGCAACAGCAAAAGTGGAGGACATTGGATGAGAAGGTAGGTAATATATGATAATTGGAAATGTAGGTCAATTTTTCTCAGTTGCTATGTCCACTCGAACAAAGCCAGGGAGGAGAGACACCAGTGTGATGAAGCAAGCAATCAGATTGCATTGAAGACAAAGGTGTCATTTTTTGGGAACTAAAAATGTCAGCCCAAATTATGAGCTAAAGAAACCTGTTGAAACCCAGACCAGCATGGAAAGTGCCAGTCATGGCCGCAAACCACCATGTCTGCTTGTTCACATAGAATCTTGAATGAATGATATCAACGCCAAGAATTAAATCTAATGTATTACGTACCTAACCTGTTTGACTGTCAAAAAAAACAATAACAGCTCACCACAAAAAAAAACAAAAAATTTTGCAAATTTTACTTGCTAGGTATCCACGCAAAATTAGAGCAACTAAGTAAGATTTTCAAGTTATAGTGAAGTCATCTCATAATACGTTGCAGCATCCCAAGGTTAGTTACAAAAGGGGTGGAAAGCCCTTCACATAATCAGGTGGTAACTGAAGGGTGTTAAGGGTGCTTGTTGAAAAAGTTGCATCAGAAGAGTTGGCTTCCTTGATTGGATTATGAACATAGTAACAACAAAGGAAGCATGCATTAGAGTCGTTGAAAACGATGAAATGCAAAAGGATAGTGATGCTCAATGGCTAGCCTTTTGTGCTCTAAAATGCACTCTTCCAGCTAAGAGACAATTCCATCAAATACATCCACTTGCTTTGTGTATGTTCAGGACAGAGCACAAAACAAAAAGGAGGGAAAAGAAAAAAGGAGAGGGTTTGCATAGGAAAGGAAGTACCTCTGCCTAGGGATGACCTGAAGTGCCTACCACTCTGCAAGGCAGACAGGGAGGGATGAGGTGCTGTGAGACTCAAGGGGCTACCACAAACTAGTGGATGGCAGAAAGAAGGGTCCAATACAAATCCATCTCTAGAATAGAAATAGTTTACACTTTTTAAGGGGGTTGATGGAATAGCTTGCTCTTAGGTAGCATAGTCATCTCTATCATGAAGATGTCCATCGAAAACTTGAACTACATGACACTCCATACTCCTTCAGTACATGCAAACAGACTGCAAGGCTCTTCTACATTGTCCTCAATTTTGGTCTTTCATTGTAAATAATAAATTGGTAAATCAAAGTGATCAAGTACACATGGATAGTACTAGCATGGTAACAACTTGAACATAATAAAATCATCCCAACTGATCATAGGGTTACATTAAAATTTGCAATTAAGTTAGTACAGCTTAGATAAAAAAATCATGAATGAGTTGCTAAGATAATGATCAGAAATCCCTAGCTGTATATTATTTTGCGAAGATATTTTATCAGCTGAAAGCAGTTGAAACAAGAGATACCAAGAAGGTATGTCTAAGAAGTGGAATGTGGAAAGAAGCTTCGCCATTAAGTAATAAACAAAATGAGAAAGGAACAAATATATGAATATAACAATATTACAGTAGGAAATTCGATCCACAGAATAAGTGAATGATTTCTTTTTCAAATTTATCAAGAACTACGGAAGTAGGTAGTAGTGATAACCGAGCGACGTCGATGTCATGATCAATACCTAGCACCTATCATATATCATACTGGTGAAATGATGGAAGATATTGTTTATAGAATTGGAAGAAAACTTCGTGGTTAGAAGAAAAATATCTCCTTTGGGAGTTGGAAGAAAGACATTATAACCACAATAAGTCTAGTCATGCTTTAGAGTTCAGAATGCTCAAGCTTCACTTCAATTTTTCTCCTTTTTCTCCCAGAAAGAATCGCGTCGCTGGTGACGCTGAGTTTAAATAAACGACCATCTACCATATTTTAATTTATACTTCAATCTATTAAGTTCTTTAAATTAAAAGACCGCCCATTATCCGAGCAGATGAATGTGAATTAGTCTAGGGTCCGGGTCTAATTTAGAATATGAAGATTTAGTGGTGGTCGGATCTATTTTAGGAAGCTCTGATATTTGCATTTCTTGTAAACCAACACGAATTTTATTAAAAGGCATCTCTCTTTTCGGTCGCTCATCTTCATGTCCATAGATTATATGATTGAAGATCATGATTTTTGCCTGTTATCTTTTAGATTACACAGTGTAACTCGATCGGTCCCAAAAAACACTACTTTCCAAAAGGAAAAATGCTGGCTATTGTTGAGAAAGGAATTTATTTTTTCGAGCTTTGCTACGAGGGACCCAAGATATATGGAGACCAACAGGCAGGACATGTGAGGTAGTTCCCCTCTCCTATTGCCATAATGAGTGATGTCGTCGAATGCATTATACAATAGGACTGGGAAAACACCTTACCTGTCCCCTATCAGGTCCTATATTTGGAGCGTCCTTGCCGGAATTTTTCTTACGATGTTTTCTATAAAAAACACTGAAAAACCCGAAAAGCGTGATGTTTTAGATAGTATAATCCTTAATTAAGTTTTTTATTTGAAATATGATTAATCATTTACAACGCTTGAGATATATACACGAGCCAATTGGACAAGGAGTAAACACAGAGATGAGAAGGCACTGAGCGATTTGAAGGAGATTGAATTATGTGCTCACGGAGATGAAGTGACCACATTTAGTCTTCTCTGCTGTAAAACGACGCAAAATTTTTTGTCCCCTCCCTCAATATTATCCCGTGAACTATATTCAATTCTTACTTTTTTATCCAAACATAGCGACCTTTTGATCTAAGAAAGTGAGGGTCTGACAGATCGCGATTGAGATTCTGCCTACTCATCAATTCAGTAACTCCTAGGATATTTGCTATGACATCCCCACCTTTCATTTCTGTCGGGTACCGATTTGTCTTATTTTATGTTTAAATCCACAGAAATGAAAGATGAAGTGGCACGAATTAGCAAAACTGTTATAGGAGTTCATGTTAGCTATGATCGCATAGAGGATCCCCAATCCTGCCCCGCCAAGTACCCAGGAGAGGGGAAGAGAACCAATATATTCCCCCGGTGCATTTATTAATATTTATCATATTGAAAAAAAGATCTAATAACGATGACATGGATAGTAACAACTATATTGCGAACATTTGTGTCGGCAAAAGTACTCCAAACCAACTCATGGGTGTTTTTCTTCTTTCTTTTATTTTTCCTCACGCCCTACCTGGGTAAGATACAATCCTAAGGGCAACTCTATCCGATGACAGCTGCGACGAATTTGTCTAACACTTCGCCCATGCTGTCGCTTACCCTTCTTCAATAAATTACCCCCTTATAAAAAAAGCAAGCGAGGAGAAAATATCGTGTGTAAGGACTCAAAATCAATGGGACAATTTGAGGAGACAATGGTTGAAAGATAGTCTCTCCCTATTGCATAATAGTTGGTTCAAATGCCAAATCATGTCAGATTAGCTGCATATACTGCAAAATAGGTGGACAAAATAAAGACAAAACGCGTGCCACAGACTGCCACCAATCTCAGCATCCAACTTCGAGCTCTCTTCAGCAAGACTCCTCACCTGCTCGTTAGTCCCAAGACATGGCAAACCCGCACCATTACCAAAACTAGGAAGAGCATCTCCACCCCTAGCAGCCAACCTTGCCATTCTCTCCGCCCCAATTGACTCCTTAAAGATATAAACAGGACCCATCTCTGCAAACAAAGGGCATTGCCTCCTCCGCCTCTGCAAACCAGCCATAGTAGGAGGCGGATTCGTCCCAATGCAACAAAATGCCAGAGACTTCGACACTTTCGGGTACTCAAATGACCGGCTCTCATACAACTTCCCATCAACATACAATCTCAACTCACTCTCTGATTTCCCCATCAACCCCTGCTTATAAGAATGCTCTAAACCAACAAAATACCAACATTTTGGTTTGAAACTATGTGTAAAGTGCAAAGATTGCTTCTTTCCTTTACCACCACCACCCCCAGTCTCCACCACCAAAAATTGTCCATGAAAGTAAGCCTCAATACCATGATTATCAGAAGAAATGAAACTGAACAATCTCGGCATGTGAGTTGTCCCTTCACCAGCGAGTGCACTTGCAGCAGCAGCCGCAGACATAGCAGAAGACTTCCCACATTTTGCAGCGGCCGCAGCAGCAATAGCAGCAGAGCAGCCGCAGACATAGCAGAAGACTTCCCACATTTTGCAGCGGCCGCAGCAGCAATAGCAGCAGCTGCAGTTGCTGTGTTCAATGTATCAGCAAAAGATTCAACGTAAATCCAAGTGGCAAAAGCATACCCACTGTAAAATGGCCATCGACTCTCTCCAGGACCCAGCAAACCCGAACTCTCTCCATCAAATTCAAAAGAAGCCTTTGGACCTTTAGCTTCTTTACACGCCATTGCATTCTCAAGTGCCAGCATCAATCTCAAAGCCCATTCAGTCATTAACGTTTTATTAATCAATTCAAGCAAAGAATTTAGTTCAGATACGCTCAAAGAGTGGCCAGCTAAAACCTGAATACATTCACACAACACTTTCCCATCCCAAGAACTCTCACATACTTGCTCTACAGACTCTAACAAAGCTGAAAACAAACCAGAACTCGAACACATTGCTCGATTCCTCGCACAAGTATTCAAAATAGCAAGCAAACCCCTGACCATTCTCGACCTCGGCGGCTCAAAACTCTTCGAATCCCCTCCAAATGGAAGAAAAGGTATCAACTTCGCAGCAATTACAGCAGCCTGCGAGTTAATCATCACAGTCGGCGGATCATTGACTCCAGCTCCACCGCTCGACTCATCAAACCCGTCCACTCCGCCCATAGTCGCAAGAAGAGCATCAACAACAGACGTCGAGACATCACTGGAGACGACGGATCTGAGCTCATCAAGGCTGGCAGCGTCTCCATGGACGGCGGAGTCAACAAGGCGAGTGAGCTCAGGCGAGACCTCCGGCATTGGGGTCTTAGATCGGGATTTCCGCGGCGAGATCAATGGAGAAGCGAAAGGATCCGAGGTTAGAGAGGAGAGAGAGGATCCCTCTGTTGGGCTAGGGCTTGCATCGGGCGAGATCAGATTAGGATCAGGGTTATGGCTCGGATCTTGGAGGGAAACGTGGGAGAAAGAGGGTTCAGGCGAGATCAAGTCAGGATTAGGGTTCGGATCTTGGAGCGAAACGGAGGAGAAGACGCCGGTGGCGTCGTTTGCAGTGGCAGAGGCGGAGATGTCGAGGTCGGAGGGCTGCGGAGTTTGGGCGGCGGAGCTATTGGGATCGCCGTCCATTTTGGTGAGGGTTTCAGCGGGTCATAGAGATTGAGGAAAAGAGAAAAGGTTCGGTTGAGTGGGATTTTTAAATTCGCAGGAGGTGATGAGAGAGAGCAGGTGGTAGAAAAATGGAGGGAGAAGCTTAGATCCGATCAGGTGATTAATCAGTGGGAAGATGAAAGAGGAAGGGATGGAAGGGTAAAGTTCACAAAAACCCCCAAATAATTTTCGGCTCTTAGTAAGAGGCCCCCGTAAACTTTGTATCTCCAATGAACAGTAATGCAGCTAGGAATCGGAGATGGAAGGGGAAGGCCGATACCCCTTGTTTTTCTGGTGTGTGTGGGCGGGGCGGGCCGGGGTGGGGGTTATTCATTGGTGTAAATATTGAGATAATGAGATAAATTTTAGAATAATACTTTTTGATGTTATTCATTGGGTAATTAGATTTGGTGTATATTTTATGGTGTTATTGGTGTTTGGGATAATTGGGGGACAAATATCCTACTTCCCCTAAAATTACCCCAACTATATAAACACTCCACATACCCCACCCTCAAAATTACCCAAAATTATTCGTTGGAACAAATGGGGGTAATCTTGCCCTATATCCTCTCTTCCAGCTCTCTTCTTCCATCGCGTAGACGTCGGGGCCCACAGTGGAGCCGGAGGCACCGTAGGCGTGGAAGGTGGGGAGGGCCTCCGCCGCTCGGTGCGCTAAGAGGCGACGTAAGGACAGGGCCCGCGGCGGCGTCGGCGTTGAAGGGCTCTAGGGCCAGGGATTTTTTGCGATCAGATCCGAAGGCAGATGAAGGCACGCGGGCGGCGGCATGAGAGGGGTGGGGGACGGCGGGGTGGAGGTGGAGGTGGGGCGGCGGCGGAGGAGTTGGAGGAGAGGGAGAGGAGGGGAGAGATGAATGGTTCTGCTGAGAATTTGAGCAGCTAGTAACGTAGGATTCACATAACATTTTCTTTGTTATGCTGTTTCTCTTGCCCATTTTAGTTTCTCTTGGGCTTATTAAATCGTTGAGCTAGTTAAATATGCTTTGTTGGTGTATTTTTCTCATGCTTGATAGATTTTCAGGTACGTATTGATGTTTTGAGTTTTCATGAGAGACATAATGAATGCGGTTCAATTCCAGTGTGATTAGTTTTGGTTTGAAAATTTTAAACTTATGTATAAAGAAAAATCTTGAAGGTTAAGATGTATAAAGAGAGGGAGGGATCGTTTTATTGGTAATAATTAAGATTTTATCATCGTCATTGTAATTAATTGTGCCACTCAATTTATCTCATTATCTCATTTTACCCCACTTTATCCCACTCAAATTATCCCAATGGGTAAAATTACCTTATTGGGACAATTGCCCCAAATTACTCAATAATAACCACCCCCCCCCCCTCGGGGGTTATTTGATTGCCTAAAAAAAAGAGGGAAATCAAATAACATGAAACATATTTCTAAGAAAAAATATTTTGAGATTGTTTGGTTGGCTAAAAAAAGAAGGAAATCAAAGAATGAGAGATGAGTTGTCACATTATTATTGGATGATGTGGGTGATTTTTTAAAAAAAATTGTTTTAAGGTTATTTGGTTGGCTAAAAAAACAAGGAAATAAATTATAAGAAACCTATTTCCTGTAACAGGTTCTTTTTTTGTGCTTGGTTCATTCATAAAAATAAGAAAATATATGAGATAATATGAGTTGTCATTATATTATTGGATGATGTGACTCACACTTAAGGAAATCGGTTTCCTAGCTTTTTTGGAGAAAATTGGCGGAAATAAAATATTTATGAGATGAGATGAGTTGTCACAATATTATTGAATGATGTGAGTGATTTTTAAAGATGAGATGTGATAGAGGTGAGATGAGTTAGATGATGTGACCCATTTATTGTGTTTGGTTTATTTTTAGGAGATGATATGAGATGAGTTGTGAGATGAAAATAATATTTTATTGGATGTTGTGGTGAGTTTTAGGGATAAAAATGGATGAAAATAATATTTTATTGATTTCTATGTACCCTTTTCCTTTTCTTGATTTTTAGGAAACCCACCAAACAGCCCCTTAACAAAATATCAAAACAGTAGATTCAATAATCACATTTGATAACCTCTGGTACTTTTTGAGAGAAAGTTTGGACCTCTCAAGTTCAAAAACCTTAATCAAAAACTATATAAGACAATTAATAATCACATTTTTATTATATTTTATATCATCATTATCTATTTAATTTAAATAATATGTTACTAATAAACGTGTTTTATCTTAATTAGAGGTTAATGAATAAAAGACCAAGAAAAATTAAATATCTCATCTCTCAAAAAGCCCAAGAGTTCAAGCCCATACACATAAGAGAAGATCGGCCAAAGAACAAAATGATTGGCTATCAATAGTTGTATTGATACCCGAATCGATAGCGGTATCTATACCAAGTTTACTGTTACGAATTAAAGGCTGAAATTGATTAACGTGGGGATCAAGTTTAAACCAAGGGTTGATATTTGCGGTAATACTCTCTAAATAGAGGTAGAAAATGAGTGGTTGAGGTGTGAAAAAATTTTGTAAAAATTCTATTTGGAGAGGTGGGTTACACTTAATTGAGAAGGCCTTCCAAAATTATAACTTTTTTTTATAATTAATAAAATATTTTTTCACCTCTTTATATTTTTCTTTTCTTCTCTTTGTTTGATGATGAAGATGAAGATAAATTTGAAAATGAAGATCAAGTTGAAGATTTTCTTTCAAGATGTTAAAACCCTCTTGTAATGTATATTCATAAGGATAACCCATCAAACCACCCAAGATAAGCATAAATTATTAAATTCTTCTTCTATCAATTAGTTCTCTAGTTGATTATCCTACTCATGATCATTTTAAGTGCAAGAGAATAATTCACAATTATGAAAGAATTTAGACTAGTTTCATACAATTCTAGGATTTTTACAAGAATTAGTTTCACATCTTAAGAAATAATAACAGAAATAAAATAAAAATAAAGAATAAAAGTAAAAACTAATAACAAAGAAGAGAAATGAGAATAAAGAAATTTACACTATGAACATAGAAATAAATCTAACTAAATTGTAAAAGAAAAGAACATGAATGAAAATCTAGATTATGCGAGAAAATAAATCTACTCTACAAATTAAAAGTACAAGACAAGAATGTAAATCTATTCCACAAGGCATTAATATAAATCTAACTATAAAAGCAAGAAGAAAATAAAAGAAATAAAAATAAAAAGGAAAATTCACAATACAAGAGGGGTTAGTCTCATGAAAGCAAACCTTCAAATTGATCTTCATCTTCATCATCATCATCAAATAAAGAGAAGAAAAATATAAAGAGGTGAAAAAAATCTTTTATTAATTGCAATAAAAGTTATAAATTTGGAAGGTTTTCTCAATTAAGAGTAACTCTCCTCTCCAAATGGAGTTACAAAATGTTTCACACCATCAACCTCTCACTCTCTACCCCTATTTATAGCCTACAGCAATGAATGGGAGCCGTTGGATTAAACTTGATCCACAAGCTAATCAAATTCAGCCTTTGATTACGCTATAGTAATCACGTATCGATAGCGCTATCGATACCGCTATTGATATAGGTATCGATAGAGGTATCGATACCGCTATTGATAGCAATATTGATAGCTTGCTTTATTCATTTTGTGGCTAATTCTTCTCTTGGCTTGGGCTTTTGGGCTTTGTTGAGAGATGAGATCTTGAGCTTTTATTTAATATTTCTTCTTTAACCTGAAATTTAAGATAAAAATAATTATTAGTGGTATATTTATTCATGTAAAATAGATAATGAGGGTATAAAATTATAATAAAAATGTGATTATCACCACTTTTGGTGGCAAATGCTAATGAAGTTGTCAATAAGACTAAAGCGTCTACATAGGCGTTTTGGATTCGCGGGACGTATCCGGTAAAGAAGCCCTCAAACTTTTAGGCTAACTTTAGTGTCGCGAAGTGGTATTGGACTAAATCCTCATCACGCACTTCATATTCTCCTTGGACCTGATTTACGATAAGTTGAGAATCACCATAAGTCTCGAGATGTCAGATGTTGAGTTCTTCGGCCAACTGCATTCCTAATAGCAAAGCGTTATACTCCGTTATATTGTTGGTGCGTGGCTCAGTTAAGGAAAATCATCTTGGGATCACATGACCGGTAGGGGATACAAGTACTACTCCCACACCAGTTGTGATTCTTCCTTCGGGTCTTGCTCTAGATGCACCGTCGAAGAATAATCTCCATACTTACATGACTTCTTGAGTTATGCAAGCTTCTGCAACCTCATCTGCTAAATCTTCATATAATTTAGAAGAATCGGATATCGGGTGGTCAGCTAAGAAATCTGCCAGAGCTTGACCTTTAATAGCCTTCTGAGGCATTAATTGCATCGTATATTGCGATAAAAGTATTACCCATTTTGCGAGGCGACAGTTCAATGAAGACGATTTTGTCATAAGGACCCTCAAAGGATTTACTTTGGAAATAACTTGAATCAATTGTCCGACCATGTAGTGTCGTATTTTCTAAACGACGAACACTAAGGCAAGGCATTCTTTTTCTGCCGGATTGTACCGGTCCTCGGTTCCGATCATAGTTCTAATGAGGTAGTAGATTGCTTGTTCATGACCCTGATTATTGTTCTGAGCTAACAAAGATCCAAGAGAATGATCCATGTCTCTTACATATAACAAGAATGGTTTTCCTGATACTGAGGCCACTAGAACGGGTGGCTAAGTGAGGTATCATTTGATCTCCTCAAATGCCTTTTGGCAGTCTTCATCCCAAACGAATAAGACACCTTTCTTTATCAATTTGGTAAAGGGTTGGCAGCATCCTGAAAGATTTGATATGAATCTTCGGATATAAGCTAACCTGCCTTGTAAGCCTCTGAGTTCTTTAATATTCTTCGAAGGCGACATTTCTTGGATGGCGCAAACTTTTTCAGGGTTAAGATAAATTCCCTTAGATGTGACTATAAATCCAAGTAATTTACCACTGGCTACCCCCAGGAAAGATTTAGTTGGGTTCATCTTTAGCTGATGTGCTCGCATGATGTTGAACATCATCTTCAGATATGAGAGATGATCATCTTTCTTTTGGCTCTTCACTGCAATATCATCCACGTAACACTCAATCTTCTTATGTAGATGTTCATTGAAGATTGTATTCATGGCCCACTGATAGGTTGCAC